GTAGGCTACGACACATAAAATCACAATCAAGGCCTACAGGGTGCAATCCACGTAAGCAGACAATGCTCCTCTAAACGCTCGTAAAATCTAGGTGGGCAGCCTAAATACTGCCTAGGCGCTAGGCGCTAGTTAGGCGGTCTAGGTACCGTCTAGGCCTAGGCGTATGCCTAAGCGGACTAGGCGGATGTTTTTTAAAACAATGATTACATGCTTGCTAAAGGTTGAAAAAAAATTAAATCAAGAGTATTTCTAGCGTATTTGGTATGTTCTTCATTCGTCATTGTCATTTTTCGTCTTTGATATGTATAATCTTCCATATTTCTGGGCATAAAAAGACATTTAAACCCCTACACCCCCCTCACAACCCCCTCCCCCTCCTCCCCCAAACAAACAAAAAAAAGGGGAGAAGTAACAACCACCACCAAACAACAACAACAAAAGAAAAAAAAAGGAAAAGCCACCACCCCTAGACGTTGCAGACGCACACACAAAAGTCTACTAAAATTGTGATATATCAACGATTCAATTCAATTGAAGTTACATATTCAGATACAGTTTAACAATGCGGCTCCACAATCCACGCAACCTTGAATAAACAAGCCATTTCTATTTTACTAATTTTGGTACATGAAAAGCTGGTGAACTATGATTCAGTGATTTAGAGATCTTGATTATATAGGGTATAAAGTCCTATAATAATAAGAGATTCCACATGCACATGAAGAAGCACGAAAAAGAAGTATGGATCAAGATAAGGACAGTAGGCTTTCCGTTAAAATCTAAAAACCACCAAATAGCAGCAAATAAAATCATACACAAGTTCTAACGTGAAAAACCCTCAATAGGGAAAAACTGTGAGATCAAAAATAATCTATTATCATCACCAAATTATAATTTTTTTGCACGGACATAGACTACAAAACCCTCTCTCACAATGCTTTTGAACCTAGTCCTAATCACAAGAATATTGCATCTCTTCCTCTATTCTACTACAAAACCCTAAAATAGGATGCCTTAGTTAAAAACACTCATAACTTGGCCACCAAGTCAACTTGGCCTCCAAAAAAAAAAACTATTAGGACTGGGCCTATTGTATAAATTTGGATCCAACTTAAAGTTTGAGTCGGCAACTAACAGACTTATAGTGGCAGAGGCAAAAATTTTATCCTAAGCAGGCCAAAATACAAAGCTTATCTAAGCTCACAAACCCTAGGATCCTTTTCAATGAAAATCTTCAACGCCTATATAAAATCTGACACTGATAATTTAAGAGGATCATCATCTCGATGAAGTTACCAATTTAATTTCTAAAATTAGAGTATTGTATAAGGGGCTCTTTGGTTGACAAGGTTATATAAAACTTTTTAGAAAATACCTAATAATGGCATTTTCGTACATAAAAGATTTTGGTAGTTTTCTTAAAAATGTTTTTGGCTCACCCAAAATTAATAGAAATATTTTTCATAAAATAGTGAAAAGGGGTCTAATTTATAGAAATCAACTTCCCATCACCATAAGCTAAAATTGCCAAAATTTTTGACAAAGTCAATTAAAACTATTCTTTTCTCATGGGTGACATAGATAAAAACAGTGTTGTAAATAGCGGCCAATAGCGGCGCTATAGCGGCGCGAATAGCGGTCGCGGCCCTTCAGCGCTACGCGTAGGGGTTTCGCGGCTGGCTTAAGCGGGAAAATCCGCCATTCATTCGAATAGCGCGTAAAAGCGGATTTTAGCGGGTTAAAAGCGGGTTTTCACAGTTAAAAGCGGATTTTCGCGGTTTAAAGCGGATTTTCGCGGTTAAAAGCGGCTAAACCCGCTATCACACATATTATGATGCTATATTTCTTGAATTTCTTCATAGTTTCATTCATACAACAAGCTTACTAATTGTTATTTACTGATAATACAAGAAATTTACAACTAATTGAATTTTTAGATTTTTTTATGAATTTTCTTATTATTTAGGATATTTAAATATATTTAAAGTTAACCGTTATTTGACTGTGCGCTATTTGCTGCGATTTCGCCGCAATAGCCCGATATAGCCTTAGCGGTACCTCGCCGCGACGCGCCGCGATCTGCTATTAGCAACCTTGGATAAAAATCCCTAGGGCTTCTATTTTCACCCTCCCGCTCTCCCTCCCGCCCCCTAAGTTCAGGTTCGCACTTCAATTTTTAGCCTTTCAACGCTCGACCACATTCCTCTTCCTTCTAATTCATTTCCACGGCTTCTATTTCTTTCTTGTTTACCTCTAGCATAATCCGTTGATGGATTTGGTTTTGATGTTAAAATTTTGAGGAAAGCTTTCAGCTTTTTGGGTGGGGGCCATTTAAGTTGCTTGTGGCTCGGATCTGATCTTGTGATACCTTGATTACAAAATTGGGAGATCTTCGTCGGTTTCTTCTTTGGTTCTTTGATTTCACATGCTAATAAGGTATAATCTTGATTGACTTATATATTTTTATTTTCTTCTTGCTTAATATCTCGTATTTTCGCCTTGATTCATTGCATAATATTTCCTAATTTTTTTAGTCTATAATTTTCCTAAATAACGCTACTTGTGGAATGACAATGATAATTAAGCATATATTTGTAATTTTTGTAATTGATTTTTAGTAAGACGTACTTAGATTTCTAGTGAACAAAAATAGTGAAAAAATAGTGAACCCAAAAATAGAGAAAAAATAAAGAAAAAGAAAGGAATTTTACCTTCGCACTGTGAAGAGCAGAGAACTTCACACTTCACAGGACAACAGCAACTCTCCATCCCCCAACAAAAAGAGAAAACTAAAAGATATTATGCTAAATTTCTTTGGAAATTTATAGACTACCCAAGCTCATACATACCTTCTCGCTGTCCAGTATCCCTGCACCAAGCCTTAATAAAACGAGAACCTGAAAAGGAAAGCCAATAGTGTTTGACGAAATGCTGATAAGAGTGTAGACCTGATGTGCTGAGTTACAAAATGATTTGTGAGGGGTTGTGTGCTGCCAAGGAATTTAAACAAGCGAGGTTAGTTTTGGCGAGACGGTGTTTAATGGGTATGAGCCCGGGGAGGGGAGCATGAGGAAGTTTGTCGAGGGGTTTTGTGGGGATAGGGAGTGGAACGTGATAGTTGAGGTATTTTGTCGATTGTCGAAAGGGAGGAGAGGGGTTTTTGATGGATGGGGGCTGGTGATAAATAGTGTTCTGAAGGAGAGAGTTAAGATTGAGGTTGAAGAGGTTTTAGATTGCTTAATTTGAGGTGACTATAGTGTACAAATATTGGAAAGTTCTACGGAAGTTTTGTGGAAACTATTCTCGGCTACTTTAGCAGGACTCCCTACATGAATTTTGGCGGCCAACTTGGAGTTAACTGAATTTTCTTATTTTATTATTATGACTAATTTTGTTATTGTCATGGACTTATACGACATAGCTGCAGTAGGGTGTTTATGAATCTTTTAGATGTTATTCTGAAAATGGTTTTTTTATTTCTAGCGATAATTTATTTAGGATGCAACATTCTCTTAGTTATTGTAATCAAAATGTATGTACCTTGACTAGAAATATAGGTTTCTTGTAGAGGCTCACTCTGTAATAGAAATTCAAGTTTATTGGAGTACATGCTCACTCTTCCAAATTTGGTTCTCTTTCAAAACCGTGCTCCAAAGACCTAAGCAATAGTATTTTCTAGATTATCAGAGAAATAACGTGGTTCTCTTTCAAAACCGTGCTCCAAAGACCTAAGCAATAGTATTTTCTAGATTATCAGAGAAATAACGTTAAAGGTTCTAAGGTTACCAAACTACTCACCTAAGCAATAGTATTTTCTAGATTATCAGAGAAATAACGTTAAAGGTTCTAAGGTTACCAAACTACTCAGACTAAGCGTTTGCTCAAGTTAATGACTTATCGGTTGATTGCCAATTCATTTTGCTTTGCTAGAATTTTTTTACTTTGGCAGGTCATTTGTCTCCTATTATTAGTTGATCATGCTCATGTTTCTAGTACTTCTACATTTTCTTTGTTTGGACATGTTAATATTTTATTTCGTGGAGAATCTTAAAACTGTACAGTTTGGGATTACGAGGCTATGAGCTAGTCAAGTTAGTCCATGTCGAGATGGATTAGACTAATCTGTGTGAATTCAAATTAGGCCATAACAGTTAACATTTTACCGGGTTGTGAGTCCAAGCATCTTTAATCATCTCATGTCATAATCTTTCTAATATGAGAATATCAGAAAGCAATAAAAACTTTGATAGATTTTCTGATTCTCTCATACTTTTCCAGGCTTCTCCCTTGAAAATTCTGATCTGGGGCTATTACTATATAGGGGGGCTCGTTAACCCAGCAGTTTTTTTGTTATTAGTGGAGTGGGATCAGTAAATCTGTCCTCAATATCGGTTTTCACCTTGATGGAACCTTCTAGATCCTTTAATATTACTGTCATAGAGGGTCTTCTAGCACCGTCATTTTGTAAGCACCACATTGCAAGTTTTATCATCTCAACAATTTCATCTGTATGCAACTACATATTGTTGCTGCGATAATCAACAATATTTAGGAGTCGATTTTGTCTAACATTTTCTCGCAACAGACTAATCAAGTGGATACATTCTTCAGGCTGAGAATAATCCAAATTCTTTCTTCCACAAAAAATTTCCATGACCACAACACCGAAGCTATAGACATCTGCCTTCTTCGTCATTTTCGAAGTCAACCATTTAGGAGCTAGATAGCCTTTGGTTCTTCTCATGGTAGTCCATGCGTGGCTCTGGTCCCTCTCAATTAGCTTAGATAACCCGAAGTTTGATGTCTTTGCATGAAACCCTTCATCTAAAAGTATATTTTGTGGCTTGATATCCAGATGAGCAATTCGTTGCCTGCAGCCTTCCTGGAGATAGGACAATCCCTTAGCTACATTAGTTATAATTTTGACTCCTGTCTGCCAGTCGAGAGGGTCGTCTCCATTTTTGTAGAATGTCCACTTATCCAATGATCCATTACACATATACTCGTAAACTAAGAGTATATGAGACTTCTCTGAACAGAAACCTATTAGTCTTACTAGATTGATGTGGTGAACATTTCCAATGGTCTTGACCTCAGCCTAGAACTCTTTTGCCCCTTGGCCTACACCCTCCAATCTCTTCACCGCAACTCTCAAGCCATCCAGTGTCCCTCAAAAACAGACCCAAATCCACCTTATCCAAGCTCTCAGTTGAAGTTTTCAGTAACCGCTTTCAGATCCTCAAAAGAAAATCTTGTCGGTATATATGATGCCAATTCAAAGTTATCTTCCTTTTAGGCTGAGAAGGAAGATAACTTTGAATTGGCATCATATATACCGACAAGATTTTCTTTTGAGGATCTGAAAGCGGCTACTGAAAACTTCAGCCGCGAGCTTGGATAAGGTGGATTTGGGTCTGTTTTTGAGGGACATTGGATGGCTTGAGAGTTGCGGTGAAGAGATTGAAGGGTGTAGGCCAAGGGCAAAAGAGTTCTAGGCTGAAGTCAAGACCATTGGAAGTGTTCATCACATCAATCTAGTAAGACCAATAGGTTTCTGTTGAGAGAAGTCTCATATACTCTTAGTTTACGAGTATATGTGTAATGGATCATTGGATAAGTGGACATTCTACAAAAATGGAGACGACCCTCTCGACTGGCAGACACGAGTCGAAATTATAACTGATGTAGCCAAGGGATTGTCCTATCTCCATGAAGACTGCAGGCAGCAGATTGCTCATCTGGATATCAAGCCACAAAATATACTTTTAGATGAAGGGTTTCATGCAAAGATATCAGACTTCGGGTTATCTAAGCTAATTGAGAGGGACCAGAGCCACGCATGGACTACCATGAGAGGAACCAAAGGCTATCTAGCTCCTGAATGGTTGATTTCGAAAATTACGGAGAAGGCAGATGTCTATAGCTTCGGTGTTGTGGTCATGGAAATTGTTTGTGGAAGAAAGAATTTGGATTATTCTCAGCCTGAAGAATGTATCCACTTGATTAGTCAGTTGCGAGAAAATGTTAGACAAAATCGACTCTTAGATATTGTTGATTATCGCAGCAACAATATCTGTTGCATACAGATGAAATTGTTGAGATGATAAAACTTGTAATGTGGTGCTTGCAAAATGATAGCGCTAGAAGGCCCTCTATGGTAGTAGTATTGAAGGATCTAGAATGTTTCATCAAGGTGGAAACCGATATTGAGGACAGATTTACTGATCCCACTCCACAAATAGCAAAAAATATAGATGACTTGTGTGCTTCAGCTTCACAACCAGCAGCAATTTTATCTGGAGGACGATGAAGGTATCGATTTCAACGTGAGGTAATCATATGTATTTGTCTCGCTCTTTATCTTTCTATAGTCTAGGAAGGTATTTGTTGTATGTTTTTGTTCTGTTGTCCCATATGTATGTTTCTACTTCGTTACATTGCATTATGCCAAGGCCAAAGAGATTAGTCACAGGATATTCTCTGCACGGGAACGAGGTTGTTAAGACTGCAACATTGTGTTTACAAATAAATAGTTTGGGTATGACCTCTTATTCTGTTTGAAGAGCTAGCCTCTTTGATTCTCTATGCAATATTTTTATATATAGAAATGACTGTTTGACCTAAGAAATAGTTAGCTGCTGCATGTGTATCTAATATGAAAAGCGTCTTCAGTTTGTTAACAAATATTCTCCAATGATAATATAGTGACTTCCCAAAGTTATCTAAGAAAAAGATATTATTTCAACTATTTATTTTTGCCATCGGTGTCCATAAGCGGAATCAATTTGTTTTAACAAAAATTCATAAATAGGGATTGCTAAAAGGATCACAAACAATCAGTCAGAGTGGCTCTCATCTTCAAATCCTAACTTTTAGGACAAGTGACCAAAGCTTTAGCATTCTTCTTCAAATTAAAGTTTCCTTGTTGTTTCTTATATTTTGGTTTCAACTTCCTAATCTTACTTTTAACAAGAAAAACTGCTGGGTTAACGAGCCCCCCATATAGTAATAGCCCCAGATCAGAATTTTCAAGGGAGAAGCCTGGAAAAGTATGAGAAAATTAGAAAATCTATCAAAGTTTTTATTGCTTTCTGATATTCTCATATTAGAAAGATTATGACATGAAGAGATGATTAAAGATGCTTGGACTCACAGCCCGGTCGAATGTTAACTGTTCTGGCCTAATTTGAATTCACACAGATTAGTCTAATCCATCTCGACATGGACTAACTTGACTAGCTCATAGTCTCATAATCCCAAACTGTACAGGGTTAAGATCATCCATGAAACAAAATATTAACATGTCTAAACAAAGGAAAGGTAGAAGTACTAGAAACATGAGCATGATTAACTAATAATAGGAGACAAATGACCTGCCAAAGTAAAAAAATTCTAGCAAAGCAGAATGAATTGGCAATCAACCGATCTAACTGGTAAGTCATTAACTTGAGCAAACGTCTAGGTTGTGTTTGGTTTGACGGAAAGGGAGAGAAAGGAAAGTAAAGTATGAAAGAAAGTGGGTTTGTACTGTTTGCTTTGAAAGAAAATAAAAAGGAAAAAAGAACATAAATTATATTGTAGAAAAATTGGTATATCTTTTTTCTTTCCCCCTTTCCCTCAGCTGCCCTAGTGAAAACGAGGGAGAGCGAGGGAAACGCCTCGCTCATTGCCTCCTGACCTGACCCTGATCTCTCCCCTTCCTCTCCAAAAATCGAGTCCATCTTCTTTCTCTTTCTATCTCTTGTCGCCTCGTTCTCCTCTCTCTCTCTCTCTCTCTCTCTCTCTCTCTCTCTTACTTTGGTTGTAAAATAAAATTGCTGGCTTGCATTTTTTTGTATATGGTAGAAATTAACATTGTAGTTAGAAACTGAATGTAGTGTGTTATCTTTAGAGATGCAGGGCTATGAATTTCCTGTGCATAACTTTATGAATTGTTATTAACTAACACAGCCTTTTCTTGTTTGGATGTTAATCCTCATCTAGTTCATTCCCTGCATTTTCTCCTCACACATTGTCAACTTGTTAGTTGATTTCTAGTTGTATCTAAATAGCACTAAACCGCTGATATTTAAGTGCTCTATTTTTGGTATATGCATTGCTCGAGTAGATGTTTGTTTTGAGTCTATTCCGATAAAACCCTTAATTATGTGTTCATAAGATGCTTGGTTTTATCTTGATCTTTTGCTTCTGAACACACAACTTTTTTTTTTATCTTAATTATGTGTTTGTGTGTCCTAGTGACCTTGACTTTTATACCATTGCTAATTTGATGGACTGCCTTCAAAACTAATTTGTGTGGATGCTGAACTATATTGTGTCGGCTTGAAAGAGTAATATTAAGGCATTTATATTAAATTGTAGTCTATTTTAATAATCTAAGCATGGTTTCAAATGTTGTACCTTCAACATAAAAGATATGTCAGTACCTACAACATGAAAGATATGTCACAATCGTAATTAAGAGCGATGTTTTGTGAAATAGATTCAAATGAACTTACATGTTCGTGACTCTTGTATCGTGACAAATGATGCTTCTATTGAGCTTTAGATCAACCTTATGTCTTAGTTTCTTTCCATCAGCTGAATGGATTAAGAGTATCAACTATGAGAATAATTGTGGATATTGTTACAAATTCCAGCCACTACACATTGAAAAGAACCTGAGATAATTCCTAGAACCAGATAAGGTTTAGCTGCATCGGCCCCAATTACAACGAGCTCTCCAGATCCTGGAGCTTTCTATAAATGATCGAGTGTATAGATGAATTTTTAAGCAGTGAAAGCATATTGAAGACCTTTGGGTGAACAGTGAAAGGTTGATCCCATTCTCCATTGATATCCCAGTTACCAAGTGTGTCTAGGCTAAATATGTCAATCTCTTGTGGGATGTGATTTTCTGCAATTGAATAAATCCTCCCAATATGTTCAAAGACATTTGCATTACTGAGGTACTTGTTTATTTTGCCAAATCTAAGCTGCAATAATACATTAGAATTGAGAACACTAAGATTGCTGAGGTACTTGTACTTATTACTTGAATGTTAAGACTTTATTTTGTAGGTTTTTGATGTTTATATTGTACTTATTTGAATTTTTTGAATTAATTTCAGAGGATGAAGTTTGCGAGATTGATGTTTTGATGGGCTCACTAAAGTCAAAAATCAAGGACTTTGGCGGATTTCTCTCTCTCTCTCTCTCTCTCTCTCTCTCTCTCTCTGTTTAGTATTTTCTATATAAAATTGATTGTAATAGCCTTTATTGGTTTAAGATTTTTCTATATGAAATTGATTGTAATAGAATTTGTGACTAGAAATGGATTATGCTTTTTTTAGGAATATCATGACATTTACTTTAGAATTGTTTGGGTTCTTTCATTCACCTTTCTGCAAATATTATGTGAGAAATGTTGTTCTTTAATTAGTGGAATTGTGGTTGTGCTTCCGCTTGTTATTATTTACGAACTTGATGTTGTTGACACTCAAGTTTTTGTGTTAGGAATTGCCGATTTTTTTAAAATATATGTTTATTAACTTGTTATTTCCCATGATATGAATGATATTAATTTTTAATAATTACGCATGAACTGTATCATTTTCTAGACTTTATTCGACATCATCTTTTTTCACTTGAGGTTATGAATAAGTGGCAAGTCCAAAATCATATAAGAGTATATGCAAATTAGAATCATCGTAATTTTGACTCAATTTTCTTGAGTTAAGATTGTGCAAACATATTCGGTAACTTAGAGAATTTTGAAGATATGGTAGAATCACAATTTAACTTAATTATTTTTTGTAAATTGTTTAAAATCTAAATCCAATTCTAAAAAGTATGAATTAAAATTATGTTGTGATAATTTTCTTCCTCCTTTTCTCAGAAAATAACCAAATAAGAGAGAATAATTTTCTTATGAATTTTCTTCTAACTTTCATTACAATATTCTTTTTAACCAAACAATAAAAAGAATATCATTTTTTTTCTTTTTTTAAATTTCTCTTTCCTTTTCTTTTCTCTCCCTTTCTCAAAAAACCAAACATAGCCTTGGTCTGAGTAGTTTGGTAAACCTTAGAACCTTTTGGCGTTATTTCCTTGATAATCTAGGAAATACTATTGCTTAGGTCTTTAGAGCACGGTTTTGAAAGAGAACCGAATTTGGAAGGGAGTGAGCCTGTACTCCAACAAACTTGAATTTCTATTACATGGTGAGCCTCTACAAGAAACCTATATTTCTAGTCAAGGTACATACATTTTGATTACAATAACATACATTTTGATTACAATAACTACGACAGCATTGCATCCCAAATAAATTCTCTCCAAAAAAAAAAACCCATTCTCAGAATAACATCTAAAAGATTCGTAAACACCCTACTCCAGCTATGTCGTATAAGTCCATGACGATGACGAATCCTCAGCTCTCCCCTTTTTACAGAACCCCGAGATAACGGTGTTATAGCTAACGACATCAGGTTTAATCCCCTCCTTCTTCATCTCGTTCATTGCCCCCAACGCAGCATCAAGATCCCCATCATCGCAAAACCCTGCGATCATCGCGTTGTAGGTTACGACATCAGGTTCCACACAAGCCTTCTTCATCTCCTCCAAGATTTCAACAACCTCCCCCTTTCGCCCCGCTTTGAAAAGCGCGCGAATTAGGGTGGAGTAAACTGCAGAATCTAATCCCGAGATCTCTCTCCTCAGGCTGAGAGCTTCTTCGAGCTTGCCACTCTTGCAGAGGGCTTTGATTAGAGCGGCGTACACGAAGGCGTTAGGTTCTATATTGTACAGCCTCGGCATCTCCTCTTTGAGCTTGAAGGCCTCGTCGAGCTTCGAGTTGTTGCAGAGAGCGGAGATCAGGGTTCCAAATGTGACGATGCTCGGCTCAATCCCCCTCTCCAGCATTTCATCGAACAGGTTCAGCGCACAGTCGATCGAGTTGGCTGATCGAATGAGGATGTTATAAGTGCAAGCATCTGGCTTCAGATTGAGTTCGTCGAGATCTCAATCTGGGAGAACCTCGTCTCTTGGCTCATCTGGGAGAGGACTTGCTCCATTTCTTCGAATTTCTTGGCTCGGCCGAGCTTGCAGATGATGAGATCGTAGGA